CCAACCAGGACCGGGGACAAACTGCAATGGAGGCACGTGGCCTTAGTGGGAACCGAACTTGGGTCTCTCTGAACTGCAGGCCGACGCTCTAACCGCTGAGCCAAACTGGCCAGGGCCATAAATAAAGTTTTATTGGAACAAAGGCACGCCTGTTCATATACATGTTATTAAGGGAGGCTTTCATGCTACAAAAGCAGAATTGAGTAGTCCAGAGAGAGGTCATCTGGCCCTTTACAGAGAAAGTTTACCAACTCTTGAATTAGAGGATGAGGGACTGGGGACAGAGGATGAAGAGGTTCAAGAAGAATCCTGGAGCAGTCTGCTGGTGTGGCTCAGTGGTTGAGCGTCGACCCATGCACCAAGAGGTCACCGGTTCAATTCCCTGTCAGGGCACGTGCCTGGGTTGTGGGCCTGATCCCAGTGTGGGGTATGCAGGAGGCAGCCAATCGATGGTCTCTCTCGTCGATGTTTCTATCTCTCTCTCCTCACTTCCTCTTTCTCTAAAATCAATAAAGGAAAAAAAAAATTTTTTTAAAGAAATCCTGGAGCAGAGGCATAGGGAAAGTCTCCTGACAGACGCGTCTTGCCTTGTGTTACCTTGTGGATCCCCCACCCTCCTTCCTGGGTCTTCACTCTCTCATGTGATTCTATCCATTTGTTCTGTGAGGGCCTACTGTGTGCCAGGCTCCAGAGATAAATGACTGCCCAGCCAGAGTGGTCCCTGCCCTAGCTCACGGAGCGGATGCTCTGTCAAGGGGAGTGAGGTGAGGCAGGAGGGCTGTGGACAAGAAAAAGTAAGGCAGGGTAAGAGGCAGTGATTTGGGCTTGGGTGATGGGTGGTCACTATGGGTGGTCAGGAAGGATCTCTCTGGGGAGCCAGAAATGCTGAGAAAGGACCAGCCTTGAGAATAGCGGAGGGAAGGGTGTGGTAAGAGGAGAAAACAGCACATGCAAAGACCCCAAGGCTGGATGGTGTCTGGGGCATTTGAGGAACTGGAGAGAGTGAGTCAGGGGAAGTGAAGGGAGCTGATAGCAGAGATGACAGCAACTGTGGCCAGACCACGCAGGTGGTAGGCCACAGTGAGGAACCTGGGTTTCATCCTAATCACCGCGGCAGTGCCATGACAAAGTTGTAAGCCAGGAAGTGATATGGACCCAGTTCACACAGCGTGAACCCACAAGCATGGCAGGGAAATGATGTGCCTGGCTCCACCTGTAGTACAGGGAAGACTGTGAGGAATGTGGGGGCAGATCAGACATCTTCCCATCAAACGCAAATCACCTCTGGCACCCAAAGGCAGGTCGCCTGGAGAGGCCCTTTGTTCCACAAGTTGAGAATGATCCTGCCCAGCACGGCCCTGGTTGCAAAGCTAGCGATGCAGCAATTTTCCTCGAAAGAGCAGAGAATTCCTCTGCTGAATCCCTGAGTCCCCTGGCAGGGAGGGGAAAGCTAAATTTAAAGATGAGCTAATTGGGACAGTCTGATCTGGCCTTGTGCTCCAGCTGCGGATCTGCTGGAGCCACAGCATCAGCTCAGCTGTCCCCACATCTGGCTTCAGCTGCCATACCCTGCCTGTCCTCAAGATCCAGATGGCATAATTATGGATATATTATCTTTGAGGACCTAGGGTGAACCTCGGCACTCTCTGAGTCTCAGCTTTTCCATCTGTGAAATGGGTACAAGAGTATTCACCTCACAGGTGACAGGTACTGCTCATCCTCTCCCCTCCCCAATATTCACTGGCTTAAAAAATATGTTCTCAACACTTACTATGTGCCAGGTACTGAGGCCACAGCAGCGAATGACACTATCCAAAGCCCCTGCACTGGGGAGCTAATGTTCTAGAAAGGATGTAGCCATAAACAAGATAAACAAAATATATGGTCTATCAGACACCATGGTAGCTCTATGGAGCTACAGGAGAGGAGATGTGATGTGTCAGCAGGTTGAAATATTCTGTAGGGTTGCTGCAGTGTTGGGTAAATCTGGGGAAGTGTCCCAGGCAGAAGGCACAGCTAATGCAAAGGCCTTGAAGTAGAAGCAAGCTTGGGAGTTCTGAGAAGCAGGGAGCTAGTGCTCTCTCCTATCCCTTTTCTTTGGCCTCTGGTGTAAAGACTACATTTGCCAGCTTCCTCTGCTCCTGAGTCTGGCTATAAAAATCCTTAAATGAAGAGGTGTACCCTTCTCTGTCAACTTCCTGCTTCCTATTGACTGGAATGAAGGTGGGACAGCTGGAACTCCAACAGCCACCTTAGATCAAGAGGTGGAGGTTCAAGTGGTGAGAAAGGCAGAGCAACAAGATGGCAAGAACCTGGGTCCTTGATACTCCCAGGATTGCCTCCCTCAGATAGCATTAATTTCTATCTAATTCAAGCCTCTAGCACTTGATGTCTTCCATTCCCTGTAGCCAATCCTAATCTTAACTAATACATTATGTAAAGTGCCTGTGACATGGCTCCCTTTGTTCATTGCCTACAATGATTTTTGTCTGTATCCGTAAAAAAGAATAAGAAATATATCCTGCCAGTTGAGATGGGCATGGAGATGAGATGGAGATGCCAGCTGGGTGGGGGAAGTGCCTTCCCGGCAGAGAGGACAGCAGGGCAAAAGCATGCAAACTTCTGAAGTTCAGAGTTGCCAAACTGTTCGGTGCTTGGTGGGAGCAGAAGCAGACGAGGCCAGAGAGGTAGCTGGAGGCTGAACATTAAGAGCCCTGAATGCCAGACTGAGTGTTTTAAGATCTGTCCTGCAGGCAATGGAAGGATTTAGAGTAGGAGAGGGCCACAGTCACATTTTCCTCTCTTGGTGATGAAGTGGAAGGTGAATGGCAGCAAGGAGAAAAACTAGAGACAGCCGGAAGACCAGGGAGAAGCTGCTGTGTCACCAGCCTATACCAGATGGGTGGCTTGCGGAGGGTCAAAGAATTTCTGGAATCAAGTTGTCAGGACTGAAATGTGGAGGGTGGAGAGCCTGAGACTAGGGAATTCTGGTGTCTGATCCAATCATGTAGCTACCAGCTGGCTTCAGGCAGGTAGAAGAGAGGGGCGAGTCCCCCAGCTCTTGGCAGCAGGCAGGAGAAACTGGTGTTGTCACCTCTGGGGACTGGAAGGCTCATCAAGTCTTTGTAATTCAAAGTAGCCAATTTTTGGATGACTCCAGGAATGGGGAGCTCACCCCTTTCCCAAATAAACCATGGAATCAAACCTATCCCACTAGAGTTTAGAGTTAGGCACAGCTCAGTGCCCCCTGCCCACACCCTAGGGTGCTCTATGCACCCTAGGCCAGCCCTTGGAGATTCAAGCACCTGACACTGTCTCCTTAGGTCTGTTCTTCCTTTGTCTCAACACCTTTGCTTCCCCTGATCATAGGACAAGGACCCTTGAGGATCCTGGGGAGGATGTAAGTATTACTCAGACACTAAGTATCCACTCACAGAGGGAGAAAACTAGTGGTGTCAAATATTCTTCAGATATTCTTCCTTCTCTCTGACTGCATCAAGGAAAAAGTCTCCATGGGGTGCCAGGGCATCTTAATGTCTTAGATGTTGGTTGCTGTTCTTGCTGAACAAAGAGAAGGCAGGCCTCTACCGTCTCTGGTGAGAATGTAATGATGCTGTGTGTTTCCACTTTGGCTATTTTGATGTTGGGTTTCTATTTCTGGCAAGTGGTGATGGTTTGTCATATTTGGTGGGCCTTCATCACCTGACAGAATGCCAGCTGCAGGATCCCAGCCCTATGCTGGTGGCTGGGAGGCAGGGGGTGGAGACCTACTCTGGAACTATCCCATAGCTGAATGTGTGGAGCACAAGGAGCCCTGTTTAGCAGGAATGTTTTCAGGGAATCCTCTGTGCAAACACTACCACCACTAATAAATCACACCACCAGACAAGAAAGTTCCTCTCCCAACCTCTCCTACTGTCCACTTCCCTTGCTGGAGAAAACCTGTTTGAGGTTGGAGGGTCCCCTTCTGGCCCACCGATTTACTCTCTCCTGTATAACATAAATGGGATCATGCCCTTTGTACTGTGTCACATCCTGGTGGTGGTGGTTTTCAACAACTGTAGATTTTAGCACGTCAATACATAGCTTCCTGGTTTTTGTTGCATAATATTCCATAATATTGATGTTCTGTGATTCCCAAAAGTGGTTCACTATTCCCAGAAATTCTACGATGACTTGGAGGCAGCACCACTAAGCCTTTTGGGGTAACAAGGTCAAATATGGGACCCAGGTTAACTGGGTATCTTGGTTCACCGCTCTCCCAAGATCAGCTTCATCCTCGTCCAAGTGGACTCCTGCATTAGAAGGAACAGTAAGGGAGCCCACAGAGCCATCGTTGGGGGCCAGCCCACTGTTAGCCATCCAGGGCTCATCCAGCTGTCCTCTGAGAGGGAGGCCAGCAAGCACTGCCTGGCTCTAGAGGAAGAAATAGAGGCAGTCCTGCCTCTAGCACAGCTGGATTGGTAGGGTAAGGCCCACGTTATTTTCCAAAGGTGGGCTGCTCCACCTGGACGCCCCTAGTTCCACATGATTTTTTTCCTGTGGCCCCAATTTTTTGATGACGACAATACTGATAGAGTGGTAGACATATTTTGTTTGGGTGCTTTTTTTGCACCAGGCACCAACAGCCCTTTAGAGTGACAGGTAATTAATTAAATGAGCCCCCGTTGGCAGAGGAGGTGACTGAGGGCGTTGGAATCGCAGTGTCAAAGTGTCGTCTGTGCACCGCGGCTTGCTTACCTCCCCGACACGAAGCTCACTCTCACTCACCCCACCTCCCCGTGCGCGCGAGCGCGCGCGCGCTGCGGCACCTGCTCCGCGCTCCAAGGCCTCCGCCTTCCGGGATAGGGGAGCGTGGTGGTGCGCGCCCCGCGGCTCCAGTCCAGGAAGAGGTGTGGAGCGGGTGATCTCCTCCAGTCCCCGCCCGGGCCGCGCGGGAGGGGCTAGGGACCACGGAGGCGGGTGGGGAGGGACCCGCGGCGGCGCGCAGAGCAGACTGGAGTGCGACCGGCGCTAGGACCCGCGGGGGCCTCCCAGGCCGCGGCGTCTCCCGCTCCCCCCCACCCTGCCCACCTCTCCCCGCCCAAGATGAGGAAACGGAGGAACTTGCTCCAAGTTGTGCAGCCGGGGCCGCCTCGGGGTGCGCAGCTAGCGCGCAGGGACCCTCCTGGGGGCGGGGGCGGGGCGCGGCCCGGAGACGCCCTCTGAGCAGGTGAGCTGGCGGCGGGGATTTGGAGAGAGACGGCGGGAGTACTGAGAACTGGAGGGCTTCGGGGAGGCCCGGGTGTACGCGGGAGGGACCGGTGTGCGCACAAGCGTGCGCGTCTGGAGCGCGCGGCGGGTACTGGGGTGGCGATCAGGGGCGGGTGAGGGGTATTTTCCTGGGTGTAGGGTGTGTGTCTGTGAGCCCCCTGTGTGTGTATCCGCGCGTCCACGTGGAGGGATGTGCGCGTGTGACCGAGATGCTTGTGCGCGGCCCTGCGTGTAGCTCTGCCCTGGTGGTTCAGCGTATGGCGCCCAAGTGTTCAAGTGTGTGCGTTGGGAAGGGGAGACAGATACGGTTCCAGATGTCTGAGCACCTGTGTGTGTGTACACATTTGTAGACGCGCGTGCACACTTGTCTCTAGGGGGACGTGCCTTTGCTTGCATGCCTGCGTGTCTGGATACCTGTGTCCAAGCCCCGTGTGTTTCTCTGTGTGCTTGTGGGTACATGGATCAGTATGCGTGTGAGTACATGTAGGGCTGGGTGCACACACTGGAGGAGCAGAGACTCATCCCGAACCCACCCCACTGCCCAGCCACCTGTGGTGGGGTTGATGGGGGAAGCAGGGGGTGGAAAAGTCCCCACCCAAGCAGTAATGAGGGACTTTGTGTGTCTGTCATGGGGTTGGGTTGGGGAAACTAGAGAGGTTCAGCTGGACAGCCAGATGAACCCAGTGGACTGCACTGTCTCACTACAGGGTCAGAGTTTCTTGGTAATGACCTTGACTCATTCTGTATTTCCCTGCCCCTGCTCCTGCCCACTCACCAGAAAAGAGGAAGAACCAGGCTTGATTAGGTGGCACCAAGCTCCCTATGCACAGTGTGGGCTTCTGGGGCCAGATCTAGGCCCGTTCCTGCTCCCCATCCCGTGGCCATTTGTTCTGTGCCCATCTTGGTCCTCAGTTTTCTTTTGGGAACAATGGTGGGGGTAGGCTTTGTAGCTTCCTCACTGATGTTTCATGGCTGCAATTCAACTAGGAACCCCCCTTGGTAAAGGCCACCTTCCCAAAGAGGCTTGGAGAACCAGTCTTTGAAAACACCCCCCAGCCCCCACCCATGCCCCTGGCTGTTGCCTCCACCTGGCCTGGGCTGGAAGTGGTAGTATTGGCCCCCAGCCTAGTTTGAATCTGCTCTCCAGCTAGTCTCTGCCCCCTCCTCAGGTGAGCCCTCACTTTCTCCACACCTGACACCCCAGCCCATCTCAGCCAGGATGCCCACAGTGAGTACCCCCAACCTGGGTGCGTGTATCCCTGGCCCTTCCTCAGGTCAGTCCATGCCCACAGGACAGCTCCATGGGGAGGGAGGATGTACTCTGACCCATGTCCCCTTTAGCTAGTGTCTTTAGTTTTTCTGTCATTTGGTGTTGCATTTCTTTCATTTTTTTCTTCCTGACCTTCTGTCCGGAGTGCCTTCTGTTTGTGACTCTAATATATCTCTGCTGGCTTATCCCTTGTCCCCTCTCCTCTCCTCTTCTTCCTCTTTCTCCTGTTTTCTCTGTCTCAATCCAATCTTTCCTTCTCGGGGGCATTTCCTTCACGCCCGCCTCCTTTGCCCCTCTCCCCCATGCCTCCCACCCAGAAGCGCTGGGCCCCAGGCACCCAATGCATCACCAAATGTGAGCACACGCGTCCAAAGCCTGGAGAGCTGGCCTTCCACAAGGGTGATGTGGTCACCATCCTGGAGGCTTGTGAGGTGAGCTGTGGCCAGAGGACCTGGGGATGGGACTCCTCCCAGAACACCTCCTCTCCTCAACACACACACACACTGACCGCTGGCTCCCTCCCTGGCAGAGCAAGAGCTGGTACCGAGCCAAGCACCATGCCAGCGGGCAGGAGGGACTGCTGGCGGCTGGTGCGCTGCGGGAGCGCGAGGCCCTCTCAGCGGATCCCAAACTCAGCCTCATGCCGTGAGTTGTGGAGTAGGCCCAGGATGGGGGTCAGGAGGGCCCAACTAGCCTGGCCCAACCTGCCCTCCGGTCACTGCAGGTGGTTCCACGGGAAGATCTCGGGCCAGGAGGCAGTGCAGCTGTTGCAGCCACCAGAGGATGGGCTGTTCTTGGTACGAGAGTCAGTGCGGCATCCTGGGGACTACGTGTTGTGCGTGAGCTTCCACCGCGACGTCATCCACTACCGCGTGCTGCACCGCGACGGCCACCTGACCATAGACGAAGCAATCTGCTTTTGCAACCTCATGGATATGGTGGAGGTGCACCCCGCCCCAGAGTTGCATGTTCCCCTGTGTCAAGGCGGGGCCCCAGGCCCTGCCCCATCCCAGCAGCTGGTTGGACATGGGATCCCCAGAGCCACATACTCCCCAATGCAGAGAAGGAGCTGGTCCTTATGGACCACCAACCATATAGGTGGTCTGAGCTCTCTGGGTTCCACTTCCAGGGACTGGGTGGCTCCTCCGAGGTCCTCCAGAAACCTCCAAGTTGACACCAAGCTAGAGACACCCCTCCTATCTTCCCTTTTTCTCCCTAGCTTGCATCTTTTCCATTCCCATGGAAACCAGCCCAACACATTCTGTGGGAACCAAAGCCTCCTCATCAGCTCATGCCAACCCTATCCAGAGCCCACCCCCAGGAACCGGACAGGATGCAGGGATGCCCTGCACCCTGGGGTCGGACTCACAATCACCTCCGCCCCACCCCATCCTGCAGCATTACAGCAAGGAAAAGGGGGCCATTTGCACGAAGCTCATGAAACCCAAGAGGAAGCAGGGCGCCAAATCAGCAGAGGAGGAACTGGCCAAGGGTAGGGGACTGCGCCCTCTCCACCCACATCCGCCCTCCCTAGGGAGGCAGAGCCCTGGGGCAGGCCAAGGCCACAGCACCTGGGCATGGCATTGTGCCTGGCACTATGGTGGAAGGTCTGGGCTGCCCCTGGGTTAGGCAGGGGGCACCCACAGACACCAGTCAGCCCAAGAATGAGCAGGTTCCCACACATGCTGTTTCTCCCATGTCCCCATCATCTATCCTGTCACCTGAGTCAGAAACCTGGCCCAAACCTCGACCCACCCATCCTCCTACGTCCCCTTCATGCCCCCTCCTGGCCTGATCTTAGACCTTCCCATCAGACCACCTCCTTCCAGGGGGATAGTCCCCCTTCCTCCTGACCCCTGCCCCCTACTCCCAGAGGCAACTTTCTACCTGAAAGCCCACCCCATTGCCTCCCTGCTGAAAGAAGGGAGGCCCTGCAGCTCCACTGCCTTCCAGAACCTCCGTTTGTGGCTGAGCCTTCTTTTCTGCCTCGTCTACAGGGCACCTCCTCCATCCACAAGTCCCTCTGGTTATGACTCATTTCCTCTCATGACTCCGTGCTGTTGTGCATTCTGTTCCCTTCACCTGAAATGCTTTTCCAGCCTCTGTGTAGAGAAATCGTCCCAAAGCAAAGGCCCCCACCTATAGCCACTCCTACAGTCTTTTGAACCTCATGATCATGGCTGTCTTCTGGAAGCGCGTTTCTCTTGGGGAAATCTGGACATCTTGGGGATGGCACCCGGGTGGACTCTGTTGTCACCACGCCTGAGGGTTCCTGAATTGCATGAGGAGGAAGCCTACAGAACTTGCTAAAGGAGAGAAGCAGGGGAGCACGCTGACCTGCTTGAGACAAGGGGTCAGGGAGGCCAGAGCACAGATTATAACTTAGAGCACTGGAAGCTTCCTGAAGGTTCCAAAAGCTGTACTGGTCCCCTTGTCTGTTGTATTTTTGCTCCGTGCGTGTCTCTGGGAGGCCAGTGGTAAAGGACTGGAAAGGAAAGAATCTTTTAGGTATTTGAAGGGACACCGTCTCCAGGTAGAAAAGACAGGCAGCCTGAAAGGAAGGCTCTGCTGCCCTCCACCACATGATAACTGGTCCCAGGAATGGGGTGTGTCAGCCATGCCCTTGGACCATTGCTGGGAATAGTGGCCACCAAAATGTGTGCCCACAGCTGGGTGCTGTGGGAGACACCACCTGGTCTCTCCAGGTGGTGCCCCTGATGGGATGGGCTGGGGATGCCTGTTACCACTCTGACCAGGTCTTTGCCCCACAGCTGGCTGGTTACTGAACCTGCAGTATTTGACCTTGGGAGCACAGATTGGAGAGGGGGAGTTTGGAGGTAAGTCAGGGCTGTGGGCTGGGGGGCTGAAGGAAGGTGGGGGGTATTTAAGTTTTGGAGTCACAGAGATGAATTCACATCCATATTTAATGCCTACTTGCTGGGTAGCTGAAGACTAACCACACCTCTCTCTGAGCCTCAGTTTCCTCCTCTATGAAAGGGGGTTGACAACAGCTGTCATGAGGAGTAAATTAACTCAGGCAGATACCCAGTGAATGTGAGTCCTTCACACCTCCAGGCTCTTAAACATGCTGATCCCTCTGCTTGGAATGCCATTCCCTGAAATTATTATTCTGGAAGGTTCTGGGGCTTAGATCAGGGGCCTGCTGATTTTCTACGTAAAGGGCCAAAGTGCAAATATTTTTGGCTTTGCAGGCCAGTCTGTCCCATCTGCTCAGCTCTGAGTTTGTAGCAGGAAAGCAACCCTAGATGATTGGTAAACCAATGGGTGTGGCTTTGTGCCAATAAAACTTTATGTGTAGACACTGAATTTTGTATTATCTATAATTTTCACGTGGTGAAATAATATTCTTTTGATTTTTTAAAACCATTTAAGAATGTAAAAACCATTCTGAGCTCACGGGCCTTGCAAAAACACACGATGGAACTGGATTTGGCCCTGGGGACAGAATTTGCAGACCCCTGGATTATCTTTGATCAGGGGTTTGGAGCTTGTACGGGCAAGGGGCTTTCCGGGCCCGGGGACCTGAGGCTGTGTTTGTGTACATGGGGATCAGTGTAAGTGGGTTTGTCCCTGTGTACGTCTTCATCTCTGTTGCATCCTGGTCTTCATCCCACCGCTCAGCGGTCCTGCAGGGCGAGTACCTGGGCCAGAAGGTGGCCGTCAAGAACATCAAGTGCGATGTGACCGCCCAGGCCTTCCTGGATGAGACAGCAGTCATGACGTGAGTCCTCGGTTGGGGTCAGGAACCCTGGGGTTAAGCATTCTAGCGCCTTTACCCCTCTTCTGTCTTCCCCCAGGAAGATGCAGCATAAGAACCTGGTGCGTCTTCTGGGCGTGATCCTGCACCAGGGACTCTACATTGTCATGGAGCATGTGAGCAAGGTATGGTGGGGCTGAGGTGCAGGCGGCAGCCAGGGGGAGGCAGCCAGGAAGCCTCAAACCCCAGCCTCGTGCCCCCCCCTCCACAGGGCAACCTGGTGAACTTTCTACGAACTCGGGGCCGGGCCCTTGTGAACACCTCCCAGCTTCTGCAGTTTTCCCTGTGAGTGTGGCCCCTGGGGGACAGGAAGGGGCTTTCTGAGGTCAAGCGGAAACCAGGAAGGAGCTTGACCTTGGGAGTTTTTTACCTGGCAACTGGAGCCTCTGTGCCCTCCCCCTCCCCAGGCATGTAGCAGAGGGCATGGAATACCTGGAGAGCAAGAAGCTGGTGCACCGAGACCTCGCTGCCCGCAACATCCTTATTTCTGAGGACCTGGTGGCCAAGATCAGTGACTTTGGCCTGGCCAAAGCTGAGCGGAAGGGGCTGGACTCCAGCCGACTGCCCGTCAAGTGGACGGCACCTGAGGCACTCAAACATGGGGTGAGTGCCCCTCTGTGCCCAGGGACCTTGGAGCCCCTGCTCCACTGTGTGACCCTGGGCATGTGTCTTAGCCTCTCTGAACCTCCCAGGGAAATGGCTCTGCCACTCCAGTGACTACTTGGTCCATAGTTGTTCTTTTTAGCCCCCATCTAGTTTCTCCTGTGTGTGACCCTGTCCAGGTCTCAGTTTCCCCATTTCTGGGCTCAGTGCTGAGGGCAAGAATAACCAACCTCCTCTCTGCACTAAGTGTGAGCTCCACTTGGTCGAGGGGGCAAGGACTCGGGAAATGGAGTCTATTAGGAAAAGACCGGAGAGTAAAAGTCAACCCGTGGGGACTTCCTAGAAAAATTAGGGACTGGAGCTGAAACCCTGAAGGGTCCCTCCTTACCCTGGTCTTGGGCCCCACAGAAATTCTCCAGCAAGTCTGATGTCTGGAGTTTCGGGGTGCTGCTGTGGGAGGTCTTCTCATATGGCCGGGCTCCATACCCCAAGATGGTGAGCATGGTCTGGGTGGGGGAGGCGCCGGGTTCCGTGTGGGTCTGGGGCCATGGCCCTGAACCCCAGCCCACATTGGTGTGCCCTCTGCCCACAGTCGCTGAAGGAGGTGACAGAGGCTGTGGAGAAGGGGTACCGTATGGAGCCCCCTGAGGGCTGCCCGGGCTCTGTCCACACCCTCATGAACAGCTGCTGGGAGGCAGAGCCTGCTCGCCGGCCACCCTTTCGAAAACTGGCAGAGAAGCTGTCCCGGGAGCTGCGCAGCGTGGGCGCCACTGGCCATGTCGAAGGGCAGGACGCTGATGGCTCCACCTTGCCCCGTGGCCAAGAGCCTTGAACCTTCCCGGCGGGGCCATGGGCCCCAGAGGACTGAGAGAGTAGGGGCTCAAGGTGGGACACGGGCCAGGCCTCAGAAGGGTCAGGGCCAGCAAGCTGCCCACCCGGCGCACGGTGCCCAAGCAGGCCCTTATGGGGGCTCGTGGCAGCCCCTGGACACAGACCCAGGGAGGATTGGTGCCTCGATAAAGACTGGTTCCAAGAACTGTGGGCATCTGAGTCTCTCTCTGCGACCCCCAACATCCTCTCGGCCCAAGGGGTCCACACTGCCCCCCATCACTCAGCTCGGGACAGTCCTGCCCGTAGCCTGCCCACTGAGGGGTCTGCCCAGCTATGACCTGCTGGCAGCCACTGTGGGGATACAGACCCCTGGGATGGAGCCAGGAACCTCTCCAGGCTAGGGGTTACACCCTGTGGACCCACTTGCCATCACCCACAGGTCCCCACTGTGGTCCATCTGTGGGTGCTGTATTCAACCCTCAAAGTCTCAGCATTTGGGTGGGTGCCCAACCTCAGGGTCTTGGACTCCAAGGATCATGGGAAACTTGCCCCTCAGAGCCCCCATCTGGGAGCCCAGGAAGGGTCTGCCACTGCAGTTGTGTCCCTGCCTGGGAATGCTCCAGTGCGGCCACCCATGTCCTCCACCTGTCACAACCCAACAGCCTGACCCAGTGACTCTAGAGGAGACTCAAGAAAATCCAGCTGAGCCCTGGCCAGTTTGGCTCAGCGGTTAGAGCGTTGGCCTGCAGTCCAGAGAGACCCGGGTTCGGTTTCCGCTAAGGGCATGTACCTTGGTTGCAGTTTGTCCCCGGCCCAGCCTGTTCTGAGGCCCCGCCCCCTTGACCACTCTGGTGAGGGGGCTGGGATCTGGCCTTGCTTCCCAGGTTCTTATCTTAGCTTGCCCCCAGCTGTGTGACCCAAGGGCAGTCCCAGGCAAAGTAAAGGGGTTGGTCCCCTGCCTGGGCCCCACCAGTCTCTATGGTCAGGCACCTTGGCAGATGGGGGCGGGGTTGAAGGACGCAGAGGGGGAAAGTGAAGGGCTAAGTGCACACAGCTGCTGCTCAGTCATTGCTGTGCCCGTCAAGCAGTCCATCTCGTTGATGTTCCCATCCAGACAGCCTCTGGGGGTCTTGGGTCAGGCTGAATGCTGTCCCACACCAGGACCCCCAAGCTGGGGAGGAGATACCAGGCCCCAGCATGCCCTCACCTCTGCTGACACACCCCGCCTGAGCTAAGCCCGAGCTAGAGAAATGCCCCAAGGTTACATTGGCATCCTGAGGTGGCCCTGAAGCCTGGCCCACCTTCTGGCCTTAGTTTCCCCACCAGTACCTGAAGGGGTTCAGTGATTCTTTCTGGGGAAGATGTGAACGGTGGGAGTCTGGAGAGGCAGAGGGTGGCCTGTGCAGGAGCACCTGCGAGTGCACACACGCGCACACACACACACACGCACACACACACATTCTCCCTCTCTCTCTCTCTCCCCCCTTCCTCCTTCTCTCTCTCCCACCCTCTCTCTCTCTCTCCTCTCTCTCTTTCTCTCCCTTCTCCCTCCCTTTCCCTCTCTCCCCCTTCCCCTCTCTCCCACCCTCTCTCCCTCCCTCTCTCTCTCCCCCTCCCTCTCTTTCTCTCTTTCTGCCTAATCCAGCTGGAGGGGGCTGCTTGTCCCTGGGTCCTGCCCCACCCTGCCCCTAATCCAGCCATCTAAGCTGACACAGCATCTGCACCTTCAGCCACATCCTGCTAAATCTCGAAAGCGCCCCCCCCCCCCCTGCACCTGACCAGGATCCCTTCTGCAGCCTCTTAACCAACAGGGCCAATTAGCTAATTGGGGCCTGAGAACTGAGCAGCTCGTTAACGTTTTAAAGTGATGAAGCAATTAGAGGAATTATCTGCCTGCCCCACAGGCCTGGTTCCCTGTGGCCACAGAGCCCACAGCCTGTCTCACAGTTGGGGCAGCTGGGTCCTGGACAGGCCCTGGGAAACACTAGCTGCCCCTCAGCCTGGGCTCAGGAGTCTGCCCCCCACCACCTCCTGACCTCAGCCCTCCTGAATGAGACTGTGGGAGCCCCAGTTCCTCCTCTAAGGCCTATGGTCCCTGCAGCTGGACCTGATTCCTCCAGGGCCTAGTCACCCCTTTTCTGGCTCTGTGTGTGTGCCTGATACTGTCTCTTTCTCCATGTGTCTCTCTCCCTGCAAAACCAATGTCCCAGAAGGATCTCCATACTTCCCATTGCACTCGCTCCCCAGGCCATCCAAGGGCCTGGGTCTCCACCTTGACAACCTCCCTCCACCAAATCTAGCAACTGGTTTTCCGGCCTCACCCTGGCCCCTCATCCCCAAACCCCTCCTCTAGGTTTTCAGGGCACCCCTGCCTGAGCCCCCAGGCTTCTTGGATTGGGAGGAGGGAGTGGCAAACCAGTCTCCCCTGGATCCTGCTCTAGCTCTTGGGCCACCGTCTCTGTGACAATCCCATCATCCATCTGTCCCCAAGACAGGGACCTGGGTATTGCCCTCTGCTCCCTTCTCCCCAAATGTTGCCCCCCACAATTGCCTTCCTGCCCCCCCCCACACACACACACACAACTCCTTGCCATCCCTATTGCCCTTGCTCTTGCCTCTAGTCTCCTCCTGGCCTCTCATCTTGCCCACATAGGTACTCCTCCAAAATACCATCTGATGGTGTCCCTGCTGGGCTCCACAGCCTCCCATGGTTTCCTAGTACGCTCCCCTTCATACTTGACCCTTGACCGTGTGGAGTTTGCAGCCTCGCCCTCATCCCCTATGCTGCTCCCTTTCCTTGAAAGAGCAATCCCCACCCTTCACGCCCCCTTCCCTTCCCTGTTTCACTAGACCTTCTCTCACTAGACCTCTGATCACCTGGCACTACATTTTACTTATGTAGTTGCTGATTGTCTCCCCAACTAGGATATTAGCTCTAAAATTTGTGTCTGTTTTGTTCACTGGTATACGGTAAGTGCTCAATAAATTATTATTCATAACTCAAAACCCAGCTGAAATATCCCCCATGCCATGCCCTGTTCAGTGTCCAGAGGAGCCAACTAGCATTGCCTTCACCTTTGGGACCTCTGCTTCCCCAGCTCCGTTGACATCTGCCCCCGCTGATAAAAACTAATAGCAGACATTCACTGAGCACTCGCTGTGTGCCAATCACTGTGCAGTGCTCTTGCCTTTAATCACCTCACTGAGCCCCAGTGAGAGCCCCTGGTGTCCATGTTTTACAGCCAGGAAGACAGGCCCAGAGACTGGGAGGCCCTAGTTGGTGTCCCATTGCAAGGGGAAGAAGACCCAGGTCTGCAATGTCCCCTCAACAAACCGCCTCCCTCAGGCCTCTGCCTGCCTGGCCCTCCTCCCTTAGCAGCTCAGGGCAGCCAGATGGGAGGGGCTGCCTCAATTAATCACCTTGTGCTAATCCTGCCCCCACCTGACCCCACCCCCTGGGGCTGGCTGGGACAGGCCAGTGGGCCTGCTGGGGTGGGAGCCCTGTGGATACCTGGGCTGACAAGGGGCTGCTAAGGGTGGTAAGTGCTGGGCAGGTGGGCAAGATGGGCACGGGGGTAGCTGGGGGTGCAGAGCCCACTAGGGCAGAGGACTTGGGGATAAGGAAGCTTTGTATAGGGGCAGTGTCCCAGCCTGCTTTCCTGGGGGTCCAAAACAGAGGGAGACAAAATGAACGAAATGTAGGAGAGAGGAAGTGAGGGAGAGCTCCAGAGGGGAAGAGAAAATAGAGGTTGGGGAACAGAGACACACACAGAAAAAGAATCAGAGAAGGAAGTGGAGACAGAGATAGAAAATGAGATCATCTGAGATTGACAGAGGGAGACCTGGGAGAGGCAGAATGAATTCAGGACACTGAGGGAAAAGCCCCTTCACGTCTTACCCCAGACCCAGCAGGTACTGGTGGCTCACCTGCCCTCCTGGCTGGCGATCCCTCCTGCTGTCTCACCACCATCTGTCCTGCTGCTGTGCTGCCAGGTGGAGGTGAGGAGCCATGTTCCTGAGCCCTGGTGAGGGGTCTGTGGCTGAGGGTGGGGGGCCAGCACCCTGCGAGGAGGCGCCCAAGAAGAAGCACCGGAGGAACCGCACCACCTTCACCACGTATCAGTTGCACCAGCTGGAGCGGGCGTTCGAGGCCTCCCACTACCCGGACATTTACAGCCGCGAGGAGCTGGCAGCCAAGGTGCACCTACCAGAGGTGCGGGTGCAGGTGAGGGCACCCCTTAATGACCCAGATAGGGACCCTCCCAGTGCATGAGTAGAAGAGAAACTGGGAATGCTGCCCAGAGGAGATTTGGGACTGGGGCTGTGACATCTGAGTAGGAGTTTGCCAGCTAGAAAGGAGGAAGGGTGTTTCTCTAGGCATCCAAACAGTGTTTGCAAGGATGTGCAGGGGTTAAGTTAGAGGTGTTTCCATTGAGCCCGTGGAAGAAGTGACAGAAAATGAAGCTGAGACAGAGTTTAGGAACCTGAAAAGCCAAGGTGAGCAGCTTGTACTTCATGATCAAAGACCAGGAAAGACCAGGGAGGAGGCCCAGGAGCCTGAGGGGCCTGGTCAGAGACTGATGAGGAGGAATTAGATTCAGAGAAGACTTAGGAGGTGATGTGATGGGGGCCATGAGACAGGGCTTCTTCCCTCAAGACAGCCTTAAAGCAGGATAACAAAACATGTTGGCACTGCAGCAAGTAGGAGTCAGGTAAGACAGCAGGCAGAACCCTGCAGGGCTGGGAGACCCAGGGAGGGATGCAGTGGAATGGGCAAGCGCCAGCTGGCCGCTCCCCACTGGCCCTGGGCTGGAAGCACCCTCTTGCTGCTTCCAGGTGTGGTTCCAGAACCGTCGGGCCAAGTGGCGGCGCCAGGAGCGTCTGGAGTCCGGCTCTGGGGCTGTGGCAGCCTCGAGGCTCCCTGAGGCCGCAACGTTGCCATTTGCCCACCCTCCAACCATTCCACTGCCCCTGGAGCCCTGGCTGGGCCCCGGGCCACCCACCAGGCCAGGTCTCACTCACATCCTGGGCCCAGCCCCAGGGCTGCAGGCATCCTTTGGGCCTCATGCCTTTGGTCCAGCCTTCATGGAAGGCTTCACTCTGGAGGAAGCATCCTTTCGGCTTCTGGCCAAGGAGCACGCACAGGCTCTGGACAGGGCCTGGCCACCGGCTTGAGCCTGGTGCCCATCCAGCCCTCCCTCTTCGGCCTGTCCAGAGGGCCTGGGATGACAGATCTAGGCCAAGATGGAATAGCCCAACCAGCAGGCCAGACCATCAATGAGGAAAGAGATTGCCTATCCCTACCCTCCCTGTCCGTGGCCACCCATGCCAGGTCCCCACCCCATCTCACCCTGCCTTGCAGGGAAACTAGGGCCCAGTCTTGGGAAGGAGGTGGCCATAGGATTCCCAGGCCAGTTGGGTGGGGTTCTAGGTGGCCTGGAGGGAGTCTCTGCCCCTCCTGGGACCTCAGTGCCCCCATCTGTCAAATGGAGGTGTGTGGGTGGGTGGATTTGGAAGCTCTGGGACTGTAAGGCTATAATCAGGAGCCACCAGGACCTTAACTCTTCCAGTCAATGAGTCTAAATCCCTGCTAATCTTTCACCAGCAGAGCTACCCAGCTCTCAGGGCCTCCTTCTCTGAGAAATAACTAACAGCAGAGCAGCTCATGCCCAGCTACTTCCTTTCAGCGTGTGCTCCTGGCCAGAGCCCATCAGGTGAGGCGGGCATGGCCATCAGCCCTATTTTACAGGGAGGTAATTGAGGCCCAAAGATGGGAAGCCGGTTTCCTGAGGCCACAAAGCCAGTAGGGGGTGGAGCTGTGTTTCACTCATTGCCTGACACCACTGCTCCAGGTGCCGCTGGGTCCCTTCTGGCTTTGGAAGCCTAGGACCCAGGCCAGGGCTAATGGAGGACCAAGCTGACGCTAGGCGAATATTGTCAGTCCCCACTCTCTCCATGTTTCAAAGTGCAGCTTATGTCCCAACTAACCACAGACCCTGTCACATCTCCCAGCCCAGTGAGGGTGGGATGGGGCACTGGTGGCAAAGCCAGCATTTGTTCTGTCCAACTTGATTCATTAATTCATCCCTCTATCTATCCACCCAATAAGCGATAGAGACACAACAATAAACAAAACAAAAATCCCTGCCCTAATGGAACTGCCACTCCAGTGGGAGACAAGATGCACAATTTAAAAATAAATAAAACACAAAATTCCAGCTGGTGGTTAAATGCTAGAGAGAATAACACTGGGAAGGGCAACTGGGAGTGTGTGGCAGATGCTGCAGTTTATTTTATTTTTTATCCTCACCCGAGGAAATTTTTCCATTTTTTGTTCAGATAGAGCGGGAGGGAGAGGAAGAGAGAGAGAGAAACATTAACCTGAAAGGGATACATCGAGTGGCTGCCACACGACCTCCCACACGACCCAACCAGGGCCGGGGACAAACTGCAACTGAGGTATGTGCCCTTAGCGGGAACCAAACCCGGGTCTCTCCGGACCACAGGCCGATGCTCTAACCGCTGAGCCAAACCAGCTAGGGCAGGTACTGCAGTTTAATATGGTGGTGAGGGAGGCCTCATGGAGGTGACCTCAAAGCACAGACCTGGAGAAGGTGAAGGAGGGAGCCATGGGGACACCTGGAGGACAGTAACCAAGGCAACAGGCATAGCAGGTGCAAAGGCACTGAGGCAGGACCCAGCCAGGGGTGTTGGAAGAATAGTGAGGAGCCCATGGGCCACATGAAGCAGAGTGAGGGGGAGAGGAGGTGAGGGCAGGGAGGCAGTGGAGGCAGGTCAGATCTGTGGTAGTTACTACTTTGGTTTTTACCCTGAGAGTGAGTCATGGGAGGATTGGGATGGGCTGCTTGCCAGGGCAGGCCACCCGGGAGGGCAGGTTTTCAATAATCCCCTCAGCAGAGCTCTCCTAACCTGATAAAGACTCTCATTGTCCTGGGACCAGGCAGAATTAGCTATGGGGACCCCACCATGCCCAGCCAGCACATGGACCCAGGGGCCCAGAGAGTGGTACCAAGCCCCCACCCCCAACCTCAAAGGACACCAACTGGAGAGGTTGAGGCCATGGCAGGGGGTAATTTACAGGCATTATTTAGTGGGTCCCCACCCCCAGCCTCCATCTTGTGGGCACTGGCCTCGTCCCTGGGACCCTGTCTTCGCGACCCCTCCCTCATAGCCAGGCAGGACAGGAAGTTAGGACCACCCAGAGCTGAGGTTATCAGTGGGCTGTAGATCATGTCCATGGTGCCCCATGTACACCCTAGGATGCATTTTCTGGTGAGACCTGGGCCCCAGTGCAGGTGGACAGGATGTCCCTGGGCTCAAGTGAGTGGCCAGTGAAGATAACCCCTGTGACCTTGGCAGAGGGGAAAGGGAAGACCCTTCCATCTGGTTAGGCTTGCTGAACTGGACATTTCGGTTTCTGAGGCTCACAAATTCTGTTCTGCTTCATATGGCTTGAGTGGGGTTTGATGCCCCTGTGACTGAGAATTTTTGCTAGAAAAACCTCCAACTTGAGGGGCTGAGGTCTCTTGAGCAATGCTAGGAATTCCAGGAATCAGGGCAAGAAGCCCAGTGAGGCCTGGAGGTGAAGATGGATCTACAGAAGTCCAGCCAATCATCAGGAACCAGAGTCTGAGGAGGTGCCCACCTCCTGCCACCTGCCCCACTTCCCAATGGCCTAACATCAGGCAACCCCCACTAGCATCCAGGACCTGCCAATGACAACCCCAAGAGGTCTTTATTGGTACCAGCACCCTGATTCAGCCTCACTGTAGAGGCCACAGAGAATGCAAGTAAGGAAAAGTCTGTTTTCTCCAGGAAAATAAAGTCTTCCATGGGGTAGGATGGGAGAGGTGTTGTGCACCTCTGAGGTCTTCTTCTGGGGTCTGGCAAGGTCCCTGGTAGATCAGGGTGCTCCGGTATCTCCCCCACTAAAACTTTTGGTTCTTGCTCAGCCGGTTATGGCGCCAGATGTTGTGTTTCCGCAGCAGCCGCCAGTACTCCCGGGTCTCGGGGTCCAGCTCCTCCAGCTTCTTGGGGGGGCCCACATTCATCTGGAACAGCCTGATGGGGAGTGGGAAGGAAAAAGGGCTACCCAGCAGCCCTCCACAACTCTTGGGCCCAGGCACCTTGGGAAGAAGCAACGCAGAGGCACTGACAGCACTAGGTCCGGGGGGACTGTGTGATCTCATGGTGGTCCCTCACCTTCCTTGAGCCAGGTTTATGGCTGTGGAACCTCCATCCCAACAATGCTGATGTCTGAAGCAGGCACAAACCAAGCCTTCTCCTACTTCCTGGACACTGTCCATGCTATGTGCCTGTAATGCCTCCCCTTCCACTCAACCTTTCTGCACTTTCCCCAGCTTTAAGGATCAGTGGATGTCAATGGTTTCCATGTCCTGCTAATGCTCTCAAGGCAAAGAGAGAAAAATCCCAATCCCTGCAGCCCCTAGGACCTGCCAGGACTGAGATGCGTGACTTCCCTACCCTATCTACCCTTACTCTCCACCTCCTTCCCTAAAAACCAGGTACAGCCCTACCCCAGGACCTTTGTACTGGCTATTCCCTCTGCAGTTGAAACTCAGGTCTTAACTCATGCATTATCTCCCCAGGGAAGTCCTCCCAGAAACCTCAGATTTGATCAACCAGGCTCCGCCTCACCAGGTCATTGGTTTTCCCCACCCTCCAGCCTGGCCCACTCACCACTCCGGGTACTCAGCATCTGGCTTCAGGACCACGTCCTGGCCCTCCTTGTAGATGTTAACACCCATGGCATGTGTGGTGAGCCGGACAGGGTCTGTGCACACCTCTGGGTCCTTCAGGTCATCACTGACCACACTGCTTTTGCCGCCTTTGCCCCCTCTAATAACTGGGGGCGGGGAAGTTAAAAGTCTGTTCAGCCCAGCTCCAACCTTGGGAGGCAAGCCTTCCTTCCCTGCCCCATGTCTCTCAGGGTGGTCCCAGGCCCTGGCTGGACTCTGTCTACTGCACTCAGCTGATCTGAAGTTGGACGTGGGTACCACAGTAAATAACAGTGATGTTCGGAGTGACCAAGTCACTTCTTTTCAATTCTATTTCGATTCTTTATGTTTATCTCACGGAAAAAGTGCTGTCGCATTAAGGTCTAACATGTATTTGCCAATTCCCTTCTTTCAACAAAGATCGGGCAAGGCTGTATCGAGCTAAAATTCAAATAACCGTGTTTTGGTTTTGCTTAAGTAGTCAATACTTGGGCCCCACTGCATCCTAGAATTTCTGGTGATGACTTGCAAAAGTTCACACAGTGATCTAGGGGAAGAAACAGGAATGGGACGCAAGTTCCCGACCTCCGTCCACCACCTCCAACCGAAGAAAACAAACCCACGCCTGCGCACCGAAGCGCCTTTGCTCTTCGTAACCCACACAAGCCTCACTGGCCGCTCAAATTCAGGCGGGCGCCTGCGCACTTAGTCCAATTGCGCCCTAGGTCCCTCAAACTGCGCTTGTGCTTAAAACCGAGGGGTATGCCTCTTCATGCTTGCATCCGGATCTAAGAACCACCTCTCCAACTAGCGCTTGCGCACTAAACTACCCAATGTCCTCACTGTTCCCATTTTGGTCCTTCCTAGACCTGCTCACCCGGTTTCTTGGCATAATCTCGTACTAAGAGTCTTCCAGGAGTGGCAGGGTCCGGGAGCTCCCGAGCCCCCCAGCCGGCCCAGGTCCGGGTGGCCCCGAATAAGCGTCTGGCCGCCATGACGTACGCCGGCTGCCTGCACGTACACGTTTTCGGAAACGTAAGCGGCCGAAGGGTACTTGAGCGATAGAGGCTCCTAGAGATTTCTGGGAAATGTAGTATTTCAGCTTTTAGGCCTACATTTATTGTTACTTATTTAAATTTTTAGATAGATACACCACTTAGTGTATGAGGCGACGTTAAACAGATGTTTCATTGACTTCTTGCTCTTTTTCGGTTACTTATTTTCTTTAAAGATAACACCTTATACCTTTCTGATTCTATTCAATGTGCAATTACTCAAAGCCTAAAACTCATTAGAAAGTAACACTTATTAGACTCATATTTCAGCCCACTTGTTAAATCCTTAACCGGCTTGATTTTATTTAATCTTCATAATTACGAGATATTATCCTTTCTATTATTATTGCCAGTTTATAATTGAGGAAACCGGAAAAAAGGAAGAGAAAAATATGTAATGGAGGAAACCGAGGCTCAGAGAGGAAACGTTAAGCCAAGATGGGGCACTCAGCTTCCCTACTATGAGCCAAATCGGAAGTCCGTGTACAGTTGGGTCCCTGTGCTGCCTCTGTGGTCCTGGAGTTGAAAGAAAGCATCTTTCTCCTTTAGTATTTCCTAGTTCCCTATCTTCCCATCTGCCATCCCTTGAAATAATTACCACAGCCGCAGGAGACCGGCAATTATTATTAACCCCATTTTGCAGTTAAGAAAACAGGCCCAGAGGCCAGCCCCGACTCCCACGCTGCATAAATGGAGGCTCAGGATTCGAACTTGCGGTTCCAACACCTAGAGCCCCCGGGCGGCGAGGCTGGCTGGGAGAACTACATTTCCCAGCAGGCGCCGCAAGGGTGCGCATGCCTAGTCGTCCGGGAGCGCAGAGCGGATAGATTTGCCGGCGCCCTGGCCAGGAAAGGTGAGCGACGACGGCTGGGAAGACCCTGCGGGCCCGGGATGTGGGGTCCTGGCGATTGCTAGGGGTTAGACCACCTCGGTTTGGGAAGTGAGTGTCTCCTGGCGGGGCAGAGCGTGGTCTGGGGCCGGCAACTGAGGCTGCGGGTCTGAAGTCTTGAATCTTGGGTCTGCGTAAGGATTGGGGTCTTATCTTGTGGCTTTAGGCTCTAGTTGTGTCTTCAGGCCGGGTCTGAGGTCCGGATCTGAGTTTGGGGTCCATCTTGAGCGTGGCGTTGGAGGTTTTGAGATTAGGGTCGGCTTTTTGTGTTTTGGCTCTCTAGTATTAAGTCTGAGGTACTGGGTCTAAAGTCTTAGGCTTGGGTCTTGAACCCGTGTCTCGGGGACCTGCTTCGGTTGGGTCTGTATAGTCAGGGTGTATCTCCAGCTTGGATACCCTGTTGCAGGGGAAAGACTTGGTAGAGTAAGGACTGGGGTGAACAAGGTCCAAGGTTAGGAGAGGTCTGGGGTGACAGTAGAAGGGAATCCTCTGGGGTTTGGAGCCCAGGATGTCACTGCCTTACCACTGCTTATTCTATACCTCAGTTTCTTCATCTGTAAAATGGGGGTTATAGCAGACCCCTCATTGCAGGATACGATGGGATCAAATTATGTGTTCTGTATAAACAGCCCTCATCTAACGCCTGGCACCAGGTTGGTACCCAGGAAATCTCATCTTTGAATCTCTTTCAGATACTGGCCTGAGCCTGGGTCCAGGCATTGAGTTGCTGACAACTCCCCCGAACCCCTCCAGGGCCTCCAGCCATGGACTTGGAGGAGCCCAGGGACACACTTGCACCCTCTCAGGACCTCACCACTGACTGCCAGTGGAATCCAGTGCAAGGAGGCCCATGCAGCCCGAGTCAGATGGATCTTGACAGGCCAAATATTCAGGATCTAGTGCAACAGTTTGAGGCTCTGCCGGGTGACCTTGTGGGCCTGTCCTCAGGTGGACTCCCCTGCCCTCTGCACATTGCCACAGGTCACGGCCGGCCCCCCCAGGACGTGGCTGATGCCCACGGGCTCTTGTCTGCTGAGGCTGGCAGGGACGACCTGCTGAGCCTTTTGCATCTTGAGAAGTGTCCTCCTTCCCCATCTTGTCCCAAGGAGCCTCCAGACCCTGCTCCTCGCCTGTTGCAGCCCCCTGAGGACTCAAATGGGGATACTGGCCCCCCGGAATGGGCAGAGGAAGCCTCTGCTGAGCAGTGTGGCAGCAAGAGCTCAAGCAGTTCCCCGGAACCCTGGCTGGAGACAGTCCCTCTGATTGCTCCTGAAAAGCAGCCTGCCAATGCCCAGGTAGTGCCTGCCCCAACCCCCAGACCTCTGCTGCCAGGAGCCAAGATGGGGGGACTCAGTCCTGCTCCTCTTCTATCTTCTTTTAGAACCCTGAGACCGTGGCTTCATACCCTGCTCTCCAGGAGGGTGAGTGGCCCGCCCACCCTGGCCCCAGGAACCTAGGGCTCCCAAAATCTGATTCAGAGTATGCCAGTAAGGAGTTGCTTCTAGAGAGACTCTGAGAATGGTGTTTGGTCAATTCCTGATACCTAGGGAAAAGAGAGACAGCCTTGGAATGTTCCAGAATGAGTAGAAGGCAGTAAGGCAGGCTGGGTATTTGTGGCACTCTGTTCTAGAACAGGGGTTGGCAAATTACTATCTATGGACCATCTCTGGCCCACCACCTGTTCTGGTATATCTTATGTGCTGTGATGGTTTTTGTATTTGTAAGTGGTTGGAAAAAATCAAAAGAAGAGTATTATTTCTTGACACATGAAAATAATGTGCAATTCAAATTTCAGTGTCCACAAATAAAGTTTTATTAGGACACCATCATGTTTATTCATTTCTATATTGTTTATGGTGGCTTTATATTGCAACAGAGAGCACCTGGCCCACAAAATAAAAAATATACTGCCCTGGCCGGTCTGGCTCAGCGGTTGGAGCATTGGCCTGCGGACCAAACAGTCCCAGGTTCAGTTCCCGCTAGGGGCACATACCAAAAAAAAAAAAAAAGAAAAAGAAAAAAATAATTTATTGTTTAACCCTTTGCAAGAAAGTTTGCCAATCTCTGCTCCAGAGGTATGGGAAGAACCAGTTCTGGCCACCTGGAATATTCTAGAATTTCCCCCCAGACTGTCTGAGGCTGTATGTCAAATAGCAGATTCTGTGTTGGTGAGAAGAGGAGATGATTTAGACCTGTAGTTCTAAGAAGGTTCTAGAGTCATGGGTGGAGCTATGACTCACCTAGGGAGTTCCAGACTGGGCATTTTTGCCTGTGGTTCTAGATTAAAGGAACCTGGGCTACTGAGTGTTCTGGAATAATGAACAGAGCTCTCTGGTTCTACTTAGACTGGGAAGTTCTAGAACCACAGAGTGAATAGAACTTATCTGGCTCTAGATCACTAGGAGGTGTTCTAGAACTGGGCAGAGATGTCCAATTCTACAGGAGTCATCAGAAAGTTCTAGACTGGTATCATACAATGTAAATATAACGTGAACCATATGTGACTTGAAATTTTCTAGTTACGGCCTTGGCTGGGTAACTCAGTTGGTTAGAGGATCGTCCTGATACACCAAGGTTGCTGGTTCGATCCCCAGTCAGGGCATATATAAAAATCAACCAATGAATACATAAATAAGTGTAACAACAAATTAATGTTCTCTCTTTCAAGTCAATAAATTAAAAAAAACTCTTCTAGTTGAAAAAATAAACAGGTAGTCCGGCTGGTGTGGCTCAGTGGATTGAGCATTGTCCCATGCACCAAGAGGTCACTGGTTCAATTCCCAGTCAGGGTACATGCCTGAATTGCCAGTTCGATCCCCACTAGGGGGCATGCAAGAGGCAGCCAATTGATGTTCTGTTTCTCTCTCATCGATGTTTCTCCCTCTCTCTCTCTGAAATCAGTAAAAACATTTAAAAAAACATGTAATATTAATAACACATTTTAATTAACCCAGTATACTTTAAAATGTGTTTTTTTATCCTCACCCGAGGACATTGTTTCATTTTTTGTTCAGATAGAGCAGGAGGGAGAGAGAGGAAGAGAGAGAGAGAGAGAAACATTGACATGAAAGGTATACATTGAGTGGCTGCCACCCACATGACCCAACCAGGAGGGGACAAACTGCAACCGAGGTACATGCCCTTAGCGGGAACCGAACCCGGGTCACTCTGGACCACAGGCCAACTCTCTAACTGCTGAACCAAACTGGCCAGGGCTAAAATAATGTTTCAACATGTCATTTATATTTTACAATTATTTTACTCTTTGTTCATATTAGAGCTTCAAAGCCCACTGTGCATTTTGTACTTATAGTACATTTCAGTCCAGACTAGCCACATTTTAAGTGCATAATGCCCACATGTACCTAGGGGCTGCCATATCAGACGGTGTAGTTCTGGAACCCCAGAAGAGTGTTGTCTGTTGTTCCAGAATGCTGAGATCATGAAGGACAGCTGGCAGAGATACCTGTAGTTTAAGTTCACAGACAGAAGTGTGGTTTACTCCACTGGGGCCTATTCCTATGGTTCTGAACCAGAAGGCAATAGCTTGGTTAGAATAGTCTAGAACTGCTGGCAGAGCTGTCTGGTTTTATGTTGCTCAGGGGATTCTGGAGCCAGGGAGGCAAAGCTTTATGTGGTTTTGGAGGAATTCAAGAACCATGCCCAGAGTTGTTTGTTTCTGGATGTTCAAGTAATTCTCAGAATCACTGGGTACATCTGTGGCCATGAATTATTGAGGGGATTCTAGAACCACAGGAAAAGCTACCCGATGCTGTGATGATTAAGAAGTTCTGGCCCTGGCCGGTTTGGCTCAGCGGTTAGAGCATTGGCCTTTGGACCAGAGAGACCTGGGTTCAGTTCCTGCTAAGGGCACGTACCTCGGTTGTAGTTTGTCCCTGGCCCCAGTTGGGGTTGTGTGGGTGGCAACTAGTTGAAGTGTCTCTCTCACATTGATGTTTCTCTCATTCTCTCTTCTTCCCTCTCTCCCTCCCGCCCTATCTGAGGATAAATGCAAAAATGTCCTCAGGTGAGGATTTAAAAAAAGTAGTTCTGGAATCATGGAGTGGACAAGTCTGCTTATGGAGTGATATAGGTTTCTAGAACCCCTGACAAAATTCTGTGGTTTGAAATCTGTCAGGAAGTTCTAGAGACATAAATCAGAGCCATCTGGGTTTGTAGATAGCATGAGAGTTTTAGATGTGTGGACAGTTGTCTCTCCCCGAGTGGTCAGTTCTATGACTATGACCATGGAGAAGAGTTGTCTACAGTTCTGGGCAGATAGGGGAGAATTCTAGAACAATGGGCAAAGCTAATTGCCTCTAGATTGAATCAGGGAGGATTCCAGAACCATTGCGTGGAATTGACTACAGTTCTATAGTTTTGCAGGTTTTATTTATTTATTTATTTATTTATTTATTCATTCATTCATTCACTTATTTATTATCCTCACCCGAGGACATTTTTGCATTTATCTTCAGATACAGCGGGAGGGAGAGAAGGAGGAAGAGAGAGAGAGAAACATCGACGTGAGACAGACACATCGAGTGGTCGCCACCCACATGACCCCAACTGGGGCCGACAGACCACAACTGAGGTACGTGCCCTTAGTGGGAACCGAACCTGGGACTCTCCGGTCCGTGGGCTGATGCTCTAACCACTTAGCAAACTGGCCAGGGCATAGTGTTGCAGGTTTTAGAAAGGGGAGTGGGACCATCTGGTTCTACCCTAATCGTGGAGTTCTAGAAACAGGGTGGAGGTTTCTGTTAGCATTAGTGCTGTGTTTAGATCAAGCTGTGCTTCTGGACTCACAAAAGCCTCTAGAACTAGGTCCTCTGTCTGGGAATCTTTGAGTCTTGGACAGAGGTGGCTCTATAGTGCTGGACCAGACGGGCCTAGATTTTCCAGGGCCAAGCTGCTGGGCTGTGTGTGCCACTGGTGGGATAGTCCTAGAAAGTGAGCAGACCTGTGTGAGTCGGCAGTACCAAGCCATGAGAGGGTAAATCTCTATGCTTCCAGACTAGTCAGACAGGCAAGACCCTGGACCAAATCCATGGGGGCGGACAAGCGTGGCTGGGCTTCTCGGGGGCTGACCTGCTTCCGCTGTTGTCCTCAGTATCAGGTCCCTGTGACCGTGAAGACCTCCGCGATGGTGTCATATTTGGGGCCAAATACCTGGGTTCCACCCAGCTGGTGTCCGAGAGGAACCCACCTCCCAGCACTCGAATGGCGCAGGCCCAGGAGGCCATGGACCGCGTCAAGGTGAAGCCAGGGGCTGGCAGGCGGGTTGGTGGGCAGGCAGGCTACAAACTAGGTCTGGGAACCTGATGGGGCAATGGCTGGGTCTTTGGGTTTCTCCACCTCCCACCACGCTCCTACAGGCCCCTGATGGGGAGACCCAGCCCATGACGGAGGTGGACCTCTTCATCTCCACCAAGAGGATCAAGGTTCTGACAGCTGACTCCCAGGTATAGGGCCCAGGCCTGGTCTCGGGTATGGAGGGCTCCACTAAGGCCTCTGTAACCTGCCCAGGCCTGATCTCCCCCACCTCCAGGAGGCCATGATGGACCATGCCCTACAGACCATCTCCTACATTGCTGACATTGGCAGCGTGCTGGTGATCATGGCCCGCAGGCGGCTGGCCAGACAGCCAGCATCCCAGGCCCATGGCCGCCGGCTATACAAGATGATCTGCCATGTTTTTCACTCAGATGATGTAAGCAGCTGGGCTCTGGGTGTCCTGCAGGACAGGAGGACACAGACCAGTCCCCAACCCTTCTCCAAAGCCCACCTGGCTACACTGTTACCCCACTGTCCTCCCTTGGTCCTCAGTGTTGGCATCTGTCCCCATCCCTTTAGTATGTCCCACATATTCCAATTTTTTCCATAAGACTGAGAGTGGCGCCAAATCCCCAAAACCTTCCCTGCCCCAGGCCTGTCTCCCGATTCCCTAAGACAGCAGCTGTTTTCCCAAAATTCATGCAGGCTGTCTCCTGGGACTCTTGTCCCAGAGTGGGAGTGCTAGGCTCTGAGAATGTCAGAGGATTTGGAGGACCAGGAGGAGGAGGGTGGGACACCCCCAGTGATGCTGCCCATCCTTCACAGGCCCAGCTCGTTGCTCAGGCCATCGGCCAAGCCTTTGCTGTGGCCTACAGCCAGTTCCTGCAGGAAAGTGGCATTGACCCCAGCAAGGTGGGTGCCCAGCCAAGTCAGGGGGCTCCGGGCTCTGGCTACCTCCACAACGGGGACCTCGACCACTTCTCCAATAGCGAGAACTGCAGGGAGGTGAGCAAGTGGGTGGACCACCCCCCCACCAGCCCCCAGTGAGCGGCCCTCATGCTCCACTCATGTCCTCTCCTAGGTGGTCATCGAGAAGCGCCAGGGTGAGGGCTTGGGTGTGGCCCTGGTGGAGTCAGGCTGGGGCTCCTTGCTACCTACAGCTGTCATTGCCAACCTGCTGCACGGGGGCCCCGCTGAGCGCTCAGGGGCCCTCAGCATCGGGGACCGCCTTACTGCCATCAATGGGACCAGTCTAGTGGGGCTGCCCCTGGCCACTGTCCAAGCTGCCGTACGCGTGAGTCCTGGGGTGGCAGGGGCCAGAGGGGCTGACCCAAGGGTCCCTAGGTGGCAGGCCCACCTCCCCATGTAGCTGGGAAGGGGTACAGAGGTACCTTCTCTGGACAGGTCTCTGGGGCCCAGCCCAGAAGGGGCATGGTAGAATCCTACCGGCTCTTACATGCTTAGGGAAACTGAGGCTGGGAGAGGGAAGTCACCCATCCGGGGTGACCTCACTGGTGCAGGAGCAGGATTAGAGTGCAGGTGACTAGTGGCAATGCCAGTCGCTCGTCCTGTCTGCCTCGAGGCAGCTGGCGTGTTCTTATTGCCCAGGTGGGAAAAGTGAGGCCCAGGGATGAGGGACCTGGCCAGGTCAGAAGAGCAGTTCTGACACCATCCACCCAGCATGGTATTAAGTGTTTGTAACCCTTCCTGGTAGACACTGTTATAAACTTGCTTTTGATTATGAGGACACTGAGGTCCAGGGAGTCAAAGAGGTGAGACATTACACAGCTCCGACCCTGACTCCCATCTGTATTCTTAACTGCTTCTTGAGGGGTCTTCTGGGATCTAGAGACTTGACTCCAAATCTTCATTTTCCGGGTGGATAAACTGAGGGCCAGAGGAGGCTGCAGCTTGCCAAGAGGTCCGGCAGCCCCTTCTGAAGCCCAGCTAGGCCAACAGACCCTGTCCTGTACAGGAGGTAAAGTCGCAGACGTTGGTGACTCTCAGCATCATCCACTGTCCACCGGTCACCACAGCCATCATCCACCGGCCCCACACCCGCGAGCAGCTGGGCTTCTGCGTGGAAGATGGCATCGTGAGGCCCCTGCCCAGGGCACAGTGTTGGGGGTGGGCAGCCCTAAGCATGGCCCCCTGACCAGAGCGGCCCCTTCATGTCCTGTCAGATCTGCAGTCTCCTGCGTGGTGGCATCGCTGAGCGTGGGGGCGTTCGTGTGGGACACCGAATCATCGAGATCAACGGGCACAGTGTGGTGGCCACACCACATGCCCGTGTCATTGAGCTGCTCACCGAGGCCCACACTGAGGTGCGTGGGTGGGACTGGGGGTGCCTTCCCACCAGCCCAGGCCCACCGCAAGCCCCTGCCTGCTCTCCCATCCCCCAGGTCCACATCAAGACCATGCCAGCCACCACCTATCGCCTGCTCACAGGCCAGGAGCAGCCTGTATACCTGTGATCAGCCACCATCCCCACCACTGTGCCTTAGCCCCACTGGCCCTGGAATTCCTGTCAGCGGCGCCTCCTTGGCTAGCCGGGACCATGGAGGATTCTTGGCTCTTTATTATTTTCTGATGTAAAACAATTAAAAGTTTATCAAATGGGTAAGGTCTCGGATCCGGGTATATGGGGTTAAGAGAGGAAAGACAGGACTTAACTCTGGCACCCTTGTCCTTCCTGGAAGCCACTAGAAGCCAGTGCTGTGAAAATGTTTATTAAAGACCAGGTGGAAGGAGGCAGGGTTTGAGGTTATATATGGGGAAACTGAGTCTGGGCTCCAGGGAGGAAAAGGGAGGGTGGGCCAGCTGGCCACCGAGGACGGGTCATAGGTCAGTGGCTGGGCCCCAGTCATAACCATCTTCGTCAGAGGACTCCCGGTCTCGGGCTTGTGTAAACTTTTTCCTCACAGCTTCCCGCGCATATGTCCTGGGGATCGGGAAACAGAGCAGAGGCTGTAGATGGGGAGGGTGTGGACTTCCCTACCATTAACTGAGGCTGACTCGGTGCTAGGCACACTGCATGTGGGCAGAGATGAGCAAGGCTGGGCATTTGGGGGTTGGGCTTATTAATGAGCTCAACAGCCTTTAAAGCCCTAGCTCCAACGTCCCCTCCTTCAGGAAGCCTTCCTAGTCTTCCCAGAAAGGATCCCTACTCCCACGGCCTTGACTCCATGGGGCTTAGAGTGGCTCTGTCTTGCCTGCCAGTATAGGAGCGCCACAACGGCACGCTAGGTTCTAGGTCTCTTCATCCCCATCCAAACCCTGAGTCCCAGGGAAAGGGTTGAGGGGCCCCACTCAGGAGTACAGAGGCTCTTACCTCATGCTGTCCTGTCGACACTGACCCTGTGGGTGGCGGCTCTCCACCTTGGAGAGGGAGAAAGCAGGTTAACCCTTCCCCGAAAAGTATGATAAATTAGGGTGGGTAACCACCCCCCTCCTACTTCCCCACCTTTGCCCAGGTGATGCTACACACAGGCTTTCTCCTCGCCCCACCGCAAGTCTGCAACTGATCCCCGATTTTAAATGAGAAAATAGGACAGGGGAAGGCCTCGGCTATCTCCTATCCTGTTAGTAAGGGGGGAATTGGGTTTCCCATCTTTATTATTTATTTTTACAAATTTTTTTTTTTTTAGAGAGAGAGAGAAACATTGATGTGAGAGAGAAACATCAATTGCCTGCCTCCTGCACGCCCCCTACTGGGGATCGAGCCCACAACCCAGGCATGTGCCCTGACCAGGAATTGAACCAGGACCTCTCAGTCTATGGGACGATGCTCAGTCCACTGAGTCACACTGGCCGGGCAAGGGTTTCCCATCCTTAAAATTCCTCAGAGGACTACTGTCAGGAGTTCATAAGTGAGTCTGCATATGTGAAGTATTTAGGATAGTTCACATATGGAGGCTGCCATGGTCAATTGAGCAGGCTGGACACTGGGCAACCCTGAGGAGCACCATGCCAACCTGACATCGTAGATTTGTACATTTTTACATTTACCTCTAGAGGGTCTGGAGGAAAGAGTGTTTATGTCAAATTCACAGACACTACAGGTGCTGAGGCAGCCCCATATAGAATAACTAGCCCAGCTGGTATGGCTCAGTGGCTGAGCATCAACCCATGCACCAAGAAGTCGCAGGTTCAATTCCTGGTCAGGGCACATGCCCAGGTTGTGGGCCCAGTCCCCAGTGAGGGGCATGCAGGAGGCAACCAATTGATGTTCTCTCTCATCGATGTTTCGATCTCCCTCCCTTTTCTCTAAAATCAATAAAGAAAAAAATTTTTTTAAAGAATAAGAACTAAATAAATATTTGTTATTGTTAAATACCCAACTACTGTGAGCCAGGACTTGGGTTTAAGTGTGCTGAGTGTAAACAACCACCCTGTAACTACCCTGTGTCCCAGATAAGGAGACTTCGTGTACAGAGGTTAAAATATTTGCTGTATGTGATTCAGTGGTTCATTTAGCCTAGGTCTGGGTCCCAGATATGGACAGACAAGTTTCTGTTTGTTGACATCCTGCCAGAAAGTAGGGTCCCCACATGTCTACCTCATCCCCAGACCCTTGCCAGGGCCACCCCCCTATGCTACTCACCTGGGCCCCTTGGTGACCTAAGGATTTTCCATGATCCTGCAGGCTCTGGGGTTTTTCCACTAGCACAGGCTCCAAGGACCGGACCAGGGCTGGTGCCCGGGGCTCCTCATCCATGTCTGTGTAGCCCTCGCCATCCGTGTAGCCCTCGCCATCCGTCTCATAGTCACTGTTGACCCGGCTGTCACAGCTCAGATCCGCAGAGCTGTCAGCCAGGCCGTGGTGAGGGAGATCCAGGTTGTCCTCTAGGGAGCCATCTAGCTGTGGAGTGGGAGTGGCCTGGCTGAGCCAAAACCTCCAGCCCAGGCCCTCCTGGATCTCAGACCAAACCCCCAAACCAGGACACCATCTTCAAAGTCCAGTTCCAAACCAGGTAAGACCCTTAAGTTACGGCTTAACCCTTAACCCTTAACCCTTAACCCTTAACCCTACGGTGAGTTCTGACCATTGACCCCTTACCTGACTCAAGGATGAGCTCCCAGATCTGAATTGAGCCCCAACCCCTGAATCCATCCCCAGTCCCCAAACTGAATCCCCCAATCCCATCTCACCTTAAGTACCAGATCCAGACCATGATCTCAGGTCAAATAGTGGCTTTGGCCATGCCTCTGAACCCTGACCTACCCCTAAATCCAGAGGCTCCAACCCCTGGCCAGGTACCTGGTCCTCAGCTGTCCAGATGGGCCGCATCTGTTGCTCTTGGATAATGGCCTTGAGCTCCAGGTACCAGCTGTCACTTGTGCCATGCAGAGGAATGGTAGCTGCCAGGAGGGGGCATCATTGTAGGCCAAAAGACTCAGGCCAGACACATGGCCTACCTCGGAACTCCCCCTCCCACCCTACCTGTGAAGAGGTGATCGCTGTACTTCCACAGCTTCTGGGCTTGAGCGTAGAGACGGCGGGTGCTGCGGCGGGAGGCTGGCGCCAACCATTGGCGCATAGCCTTGAGGGCCTTACGGCTCTCAGGGGCACAGAAGACCACAATGGGGTAGTACTGCACGTAGTTGAGGCGCTCGACTGCTGAGGGTGTCACGTCTAGGAGAGCGTGCTTGTCCTGGACAGGGCCCATGGTGAGGGCAGTGGGGGAGGGTGAGAGTAGAAGTAGAAGGAGAAACACACCCAGAAACAGACCAAAAGAAGGAAGAAGGGGAAGATTATGGGTCAGGTCAGAGTAGACCCCAGCCTCACACATCCATAGGCCAGTGTGCTGGAGGTGGGCGTTGGTAACCCAGGCCACAGTATCTTGAGCACCAGAGCCCCAATTTGAGTCTCTGCCTTTTCCCAGGGCTTGCTTGCTGCTATGTGATTCTGGGCAGGCTCTGTCCCTTCAAACCCTCACATCACAAAGCTCCATGGGAGACCACACTTGCAGAGCATGGGGAGAGAACAGGTGGGATGCAGTTTCCCCATCCATGAAATGGGACCCACAGCATAGTACTGCTTACTTTCTCCGCGATCATCCGCACGGTATCCAGTTTAATGATCTTAGACGGGCTGTCAGTCCTCAATATGCTCTCTGTGGAGGGGAGAAGCAGCTTCAGGTGGGCAGCCCCCTAGCCCCTCAAATTCACATCTACCTGACCCTCCCTTGCTCAAGAACCCACCATGGCTCCCCATTGCCTTTGAGAGGAAATCTAACAGCAGCAGCAGCTCCCATTGGACCCATGCCCAACACTGCTGATCTGTGTCCTTTCCTGACTTCAGCCCTCACCTCCTCCTGAGGAGGGGCAGCTGTTACTGACCCATCTAACAGATGGGAAAACAGCCTGAGGAACATAAGGTCATTAGCTCAGAGTCATGGAGCTAACGATTGCCAGGGCCAGGAGCCTGATGCAGAGTCTGTGCTTCAGACATGTGCTCTCCCAGGCTTGGTCCTGATTCTAGGCCTTTGCTTGGGCTATGATTAAAACTCTCCTTTTAAGTGTACAGGACAGTGGTGTTAAGCATATTTGCATTGTTGTGCAGCCATCACCTCCATCCATTTTCAGAACTTTCTCATCTTCCCAACTGAAACTCTGTCCCCATAAAACACTAACTCTCCGCACTGGCCGGTTTGGCTCAGTGTTTAGAGTGTCAGCCTGCAGACTGAAGGGTCTCAGATTCGATTCCCAGTCAAGGGCATGCACCTGGGTTGCAGGTTTGATTCCCCAGCCCCAGTCGGGGTTGTGCAGGAGGCAACCAATCGGTGTCTCTCACATCAATGCCCCCCCCCCCAAAAAAAATCAACAGAAAAATATCCTTGGGTGAGGATTAAAAACAAACAAAAGACACTAACTCCCCATCCCTATCCCCACCATCTACAGTGTGTCTCTATGGATCTGACTTCTCTAGGGACCTGTGAGTGGAATCACATAGTATTTGTCCTGTGTCTGACTTATTTCACTGAACATAACGTCCTCTCGGTTCAGCTATGTTGTAGCATGTGTCCAAATATTCTTCCATTTTAAAGCTGAATAATATTCCATTGTGTGGGTGGACCCCATTGTGATCATCCATTCATCTGTCCATAGACACTTGGGTTCCCACCTCTTGGCTACTGTGAATAACACTGCTGTGAACTTTCATATTCAAGTTGCAGCTTTCAGTTCTTTTCATGTGTCAAATAATTTTTAACTTCTTTTCAACATTTAAAATATGTAAGTACCATTCCTTTTTTGTTTTGTTAATCCTCACCCATTGATATTTTTTCCACTGGTTTTTAGAAAGAGTAGAAGGGAGGGAGGGGGAGAGAGAGAGAGAGAGAAACATCGATGTGAGAGAAACACATCAATTGATTGCCTCCTGCACATGCCATGTCCAGGGTGAGGGATTGAACCTGCAACCCAGGTACATGCCTTTGACTGGGAATCAAACCTGCAACCCTTTGGTGAGTGGGTTGATAATCTAATCACTGAGCAACAGCGGTCAGGGCTGTAAATACCATTCTTTTTTTTTTTTTTAACTCCTCACCAGAGGATACTTTTTTCATTTATCTTCAGATAGAAGTGGGAGGGGGAGAGGGGAAGAGAGAGAGAGAGAAACATCGATGTGAGAGATACACATCAATCGACTGCTTCCCAAACGACCCCGACTGGGAAACGAACTGCAACCCAGGTATGTGCCCTTGACTGGAATTGAACCCGTGATTCTTTGGTCCACAAGCTGAAGCTCCAACCGCTGAGCCAGACCAGCCAGGGCTGTAAATGCCACTCTTAGTAGGCTATATAAAAATAGCTAGTGGGCCGGATTTGGCCTGGGAGGTGTAATTTATTGATCTTAATTCTAGCCTATTTCTGTAGTTGTTAATTTTAAGTCTTCTTGGGGGACCTCATCTATTTTGTTTGATGCTGTGTCCATAGGTCAATAAATGAACCTCTTGTACAAAGGAAGGAACAGCTGGCACATTGGCTCAATTGGCATTGGCTGGCTGGTGAACTGTGTTAAGAACTCCAAAGCTCTATCCAGCCAGTGTGCCAAGATTGATTGAGGATGTCTGGCCTGGGCATTAGAAGGGGTGCTGGTGCTTCATGTTCTAATTCTTATCCCCAAATATCATCATTAGCAGCTCCTCCCAAGCTGCCTCAGCCCCAGGGGCTAGGAAAGGGTTGTGAAATGATTCAACAGGGTTGTCAAGGAACCTGGTTTCTTACCTGCAATTTCAAACTGGTCAGGCATCTCAGCAGCCAACTTCTGCATAGCAATGTCTGCCACGGGACCCAGGATCACCACTGGGCGCTTGAAATTGGCTGACGGGCCAAGAAACAATGACAAGAATCAGGATCCCATTTGTGGCAAAAACTGCAAAGTTCTTGCACGACCACTCTCTGCCTCCCCTTTAGAGTAGTATCATATCTAGCCAGGCCCATTGTTGGTCAGCTAAAGACTACATCTACCAGCCTCCCTTGCAGCTAGGGATGGCCAAGCGACTAAGTTTTAGCCCATGGGTTGCAAGCAGAATTAATGTGTGCAATTTTAGGTTGTATCCTTCAAGGAATGGGGTGAGCCCTTCCTGTCCTC